GACTTGGCTGGTTGTACGGATCCAAACAACGGCAGAGTAGTGAGGGTCAGAGACAGCGCCGCAGTCTCAGAAACAAAATGTCTGCGACTCACCAGCGAAGAATCAGAAGAGGAAGCTCTAGTAATATTGTTGAAGCGAGGAAGAGATAGATAGGTTCGGCAATGACGAGGAGTGCTTGCGAATTCAAGAGAGGGTTTCACCACAATTATTGGTTTGGAGAAGTCCGTCGTCAGTTGCAGAGTAGTCGCCATTATCATGCTCACTCTCTCTCCTTCTCTCTCTCTCTTTCTCTTTCTCTTATCTCTCTTATCCGGAAGAAGAAAGGATCAACGGCTTCGCGGGTGATTTTGAGCGCCCATGGGAATATCCACGTGGATAGTCCATTTAATTTGGTTTATAATATAAAATTATGTAACTCCTAACAACAATCACACAGCAGACGGGGATGTAGCTCAGATGGTAGAGCGCTCGCTTAGCATGCGAGAGGTACGGGGATCGATACCCCGCATCTCCATAGTTTTTGTTATTTTTCTTAAAATAGTAGTCATAGTCATAGCTCAAAGCTACGTTTGTGTTTTTTTTTTTTTTTTTTTTTCCTCCTTTCCTCAAATCAGATTCCTTATTCAAATCATATCTCCATATGTCATTGTTAAAGAGTTGCTTTTTGGGATTTCATGCACACCATTGTAAATATTTGCTGAGTTATAAAACAATTATATAGAGCATGTTTCGTTATTGGAATTTAAGTAGCAGCTTAAGTGAATTTCCGAATCATAATTGGTGATCCTGAAATAATTAATGAGAAAGGTGTGTAATAATACTAATTAAAACGAATTAACTTGATGTCAGAAAAATACAGTGGGAATCAACATGCTTAATCCCTAAGCAAATAATGGATGTAGTTCTTATGAAATTGATTATGATAATTAATTATGAGAGAATCTGACGAAGTGAGGAAACCAAATTAACGTGGTACTAGTAGCTGAATAATTTCTTCCATATATATTAACATAAATATTGAAATTGTATGCAGCTTGTGTTGG